AGAGACTTCGTACATCTAAGATTTTGCTGGAACAAACAGTGGTGTGTGTCTCGGCAGTTAGAAATTACAATCACCTGATTACCCTGCGGAATTCCGCACCTGAATTATTACCTACATAAAGCGTTATGTCTCTTTTGCAAAGAATTAAAATCAATAGATCTTTATTTTTATTCTGTCACCGATATTCTTATCAAAGGAAAAGATACCTGGTCGAACCAATTGAGAAGCTAGGTTTTTTATAAAAAAAAAACGTGGCAGTAATTTTATCCTTCTGAGGGATTACATTAGGTTATAGCCACAGGGAGGCTTGCTCTGCTGTGTGTGCGTACATAATGACGACAAAGAAGATTACCTTGTTAGTCTATTGTTATTATTATTTCCGGCTACGGGACTACCTGAATGCCTGACTCAAAACTAACTCACTTGATGATCCTGCCGCCCGGTTCTTGGCCGATCCCCCTTCGTGGGCGAGTGCCAGCAAAGCTGAAGGCTCATCATCATCATCATCATCATCATCATCATCACCCGAACCGTGCTGTGGGACACTTGCTGGATCATCGAAGCGCAGGTATGTCGGCGAAGATGACTCAATATCACTCGTGAAAGAAGGTACGGTTGATGGGTACACGCGAGTGAGTAAAGAACAAAGCAATGAAGATATCTGACGTTTTGCATTCCTAAATGGTGATATTAATATGAGAGACGCCGTAGTGCAGGGCACCGGAAATTTTCATTTGATTAGATTTGATGTGTGGGTTTTAACGACCCAAAACCACCATACGATTATGAGAGACGCCGTATGTGGAGGACTCCGGAAATTTTCACCACCTGAAGTTCTCCAACGTGCATTCAAATCTCAGCACATGGGGCTACAACGTTTTCACCTCCATCGAAAATGCAGCCGCTGCAGCGGGGATTCGATCCCGCGACGTGCGGGTCGGCAGCCGAGTACCTTAGCCACTAGGCCACCGCGGAAGGGTGCTCGAGAAATTTCGACCATCTGGTGTCCTTCAACGACCGCTGAATTCGCACAGCACACGGAACTCTGGCATTTCACCTCCATTGAAATGCGACCGCCATCCATGGCTGGGACCTTTGAGTCAGCAGCTGAAAAAACAACACAAATGTGTATTATGGCTTGCCCTTTGCTGTCCGAGTCTTCAAGCTTTATTCTTTTATGATAAATTCACACCATCGGAAGCGGCACTTTTTGTCGTTTTAAAGATCGTAATTAAATAATTAATCATTCATTTTACCATACCTTAGACAATTTAGGGGCATACAACGAGAAAATAGGCCCAAAAGTAAAGAAAAAAGTTGGACCATCTCCCGCTTAAGGAAACCATGTGTATATGCAAAATAGCGCACGCTAACGCTTACACTGGCGGCGACGTTGACGCTCGCGTTCATTAAGAGAAAGTCAAGTAAAAACGCCCTTGGCTGAATTCTGAACGCGCGATACGGGGTGGCCAGCGAAGGGTTGTGCAGCGAGAGCAGTCGGTTTTGTAACTACAGCAGACGCTGCCTGCGTCGGCCTTGCGAGGCGAGAGAGGGGAGGGGAGCGACAGCTTTGCGAGTGCTTTCCTAGGCCGGCACGAGACGCGGGCATGTGCAGTGAGGGTGTACGGAGGGACAGCGTTACATAAAAAAAATTTGAGTGTAACTTCCCACGGGGAACTTCAAACTGCAAGGTATGCATGGGCAGACGGATGGAAGCACAATGTTATATACATGCTGTCTAAACAGCTCAATGTCAAAAACCAAGAATGCTCTCCGTCATGCAAACTGAATCAAAGTCCAAGACCCATGATTATACACACAAAAAGAAATCCTATTCAGCCCGATGCAATAGACACGCGATCCCACTGTTTGTTTAGGATTGAAATCTTTTCATGATGCTGAAAGACGCGCAATAGGAGAAGAAACAGTGTCGTCGTCTTTTCGCACTGCTTTTACCGTAAGTTGAACCAAATAGCCCAGTTTGGCAAGCTATTGTAATTCTCCGATACTGAAACGAAATGAAAACAAATTTCGTTAAGTTGCGTAGCCTTCATTTGAGATCGTGTCATTGATTACATGTGCACACTCGCACTTCCACGCAATACTTTACACTTGTGCAGTATGGTCTTGTGATCGCTATAGTAGACGGTCCCAGGCTCGGCCTTCGTTGCGTGACACATGCACCCTGCTTGCAACGTGGCATACACGCAGGAATGCGGTTTCCTAGTGGCTCTTTGTAACGTCTTCTGGTCGTGGTCATTAGCAGCTCTTCGAATTAATATCATATAGAGCCAAACCTTAGAGCAAAAGGCTCGATGCAAGTGCAGTTCGCCTCGCCTCTCAAGCATTTAAACAGTATTACTCTTCATATTCCAGCGCCGAGCCTTCCGTGACCTAAACGTTCATCACGGCGACAAGAGCAGCAATGAAGACCTGGTCAACAACTTCCGATCCGTCGCTGCCTTGAACGGCTGCGCCGTACACAGGGATTTCTTGTATAAAAGAACAGGAGCATCAATTCTGGTTTAACTTTCCGATTACCCAAATGTGACACTGGCTTCTAAGAAATGACATCATCGTTTTCGGCGATTAAGCTTTTGCAAAGGTACATCCATACACTCTTGGCTCACACCCACACTGACGAAACTTCATAAAATCGGGTCAGAAATAAAACGCTCAAAGTATACAAAAATGCATTTTCCCCTTTTGTTTAATAACAACAGTTTTATTTTATTTTCATGTAAGTATAAAAAGAAAATTAGGGTGCGAATGGCTCTTTAAGAATAGCATATAATAATAATTGTCGGGGTTCCACACCCCAAAGCCAAGTAGTGGAGTGCTCTGGAAATGTTGTCCACAAGGTGTTTTACCATGAACGTAAATTTCAATACATGAACCTCTAGCATTTCCGTTCCTGTCGAAAATGCAGCCTCCACGGCCGGCAAATCCATGGAAGTGTGTCCTTGAGAAATTATAAAAGTTACTGGTCATGTAACGTCGAATAACATGAAAATGTGATCTTTTGTGGTACATCAAACAGTCGACCAAGAGGAAACAAGATGAGCTGCTCCCGAAAATTTCAAATCTAAAGTAAAAGTATCTTCTCATCTCATAATGGAAAGAACACCCGAACTAAAATACGTGAGAATTTTTTTCAATCCTGCAACGGATCCCACAAATAAGTTTCACGTGAGTTTCACACGAGAGGCCGAAGGTTATGTAACTGGAATCAACGTCGCTGGCAAATAGGTTCACCATCACTGCTTGTACGGATGACATCATTCGAAGGGTCTGTGTCCTCAATCGTCAATGGAGAGTGGACATTTGCAATGTAAAAATGTTTTACGCGAAGAAAGATTTAACGCAATTGCGAAAATTTCCGGAGGGCAGAAGATTCAGCGAAATCTTCATTAATATACGAATTTTAGTTGAATATCAGCCAATTGTCAGGATGTAGTGAGCGAGCGGATTCTTTTGCTTTGTTTAGGCGACAAACTTTTTTTATGGCAGCGTAATCACGCAGTTCGCGTGAATGTCAATCCTGCTAAGGGACGACCGGAAGTGAACGTAGGAGATAGTGGTTAGGAGTGAGCTAACAAAGTAACGGTATTTCGTTAGAACTATACCCGCTTCTTGACCTATCCCCCAGCGTTGGTGTGTGCCACAGTTTCCAGGCTCTTCCTTCCTTCTGGGGAAGGGGGGAGGTGATTGCGTAAGCCCCACTTCCCACACACCACGACCGTAGCACGTGGCGGTAGCATCAGCTAATGCAGAAGAAGAAGATCCTCCGCGGCTTATAGTTCTTCTGGAGGGTGGCTGAACTGGAAGCCCTACGAGGTGCACTCGACTTCCAAAAGTTCTCCTAAATGAGGTAATGTGCATGATGTTTGTTTCATGAGTAGTAGATGAAATTCGGTCACTTAAGGTGAGTTAAATTAAACATCATGCTCGATGGCCGGCAAGTAATGTATGGATTTCACTCGGTCGAGCCTCTTCTCCCAGCGCTGCTTTTCGTACCGATATCGTTAACAGCCATATAGTCCATCCAGAGACGTAGCTTTCTGGCATTCTCGTTAGTGAGTAATGGGAGACGGGGTAGGGGGGGGCGCAGACGTCGGAGTGACTGTGTATTTAGGTAGGAACATATTGAACGAACAGGATAAAGGGCCTCAGATAGGCTGGCTGACATTTCGATAGGAGAACATATCTTTCTACAATGCTTCCCAAAACCTTTGAGAAACGGCGTACGTAAGCACTTTCTAGAAACGTCAGCCGGCTTTTCTGGGCAATTCCTCCTATCCTTTCAGCCTATCCCACTCCGCGTTTCCATCTGTCAGCTCCAATCTTGACTTTTGTGTATTTAGCATATGCGCACGTAATAGACTTTTGTCGCGATAATATTGCCGTTAGGATTGGAAAATGAAGCGATGGCGTATTTCCAAGGCCTTCTGGTCCCGAGGCTTATGGAGGTGAAAGATGGAAGTACTTATAGTAGTTGGAATACATCGGCAGCGCTCCTCCACTGCCATCATCGTCAAACGCCTGCTTAGCCCTTCACATTATAACGAGGGGCGGGTGGTTCGACTGATTAAAGGTATGGGGGCAGGCTTGGCGCCCCCCTTTGATGGCTGTGGGTAAGGAAGGGGAAGGCGGGGAGACACCACCTTGCTCCACTGTGTGGATGTCTATGGTGACACGTCTGTATTTGCATTCCTCATGAGTACAAATGCAGCACACCTGGCTGATAATCAAGCCCGCATCCTCGATTGTATACAGCGCAGTCACGACTCAAGCTCGAGCTACGATACCGAGTAATCTTACGCAGGTTTAGAGACTTTTCTACATTGAAAATAGCTTTCATGGCTGTTCTGTGGTTTATAACGCATAAGCAACTTGGGGCATGACGCGCGAAGTGACACTTGTACGTGCACTGTATATTAACAGTGGTAACTGTTATATTTATTTATTTATTTATTTGTCGCAGTGCGCACCTTCATTCCATGTCACGCACGGGTCCTCCACCTCGCCGGACCTTCAGAGTGCCAACCGAGCTTGTTCTGATCGTTGTGGTCACTCTTATCTCCCATGCTCAGGGACAGATATACTGCTTGAAGGAGTATAAGGCAAGCCCAAACCACACGGGCTGCAAGAACGCAAACAACATCACCGCGGTTCCAACCTACCAGCGGCAGTCCTTCTACAACGACGTCCTCTTGCAGCTCTTCAACTCGTACCGCAGCAGTGTGGCAGTCGGCAACTGCAAGCCGTTTCCCTCAGCCGCCAACATGCTGAAGTTGGAGTGGGACAACGAACTGGCCACCCTGGCTTACCTGCATTCGGCCTTCCTGATCAACACATCCAACTGGCCCCTCCACGACGAAGTGTATAACCGCTTCACGACGCGTTTCAAAGAGACGGGTCAGAGCGTCGCCGTCTTGCGCAACACCACTCACCGGTACGTGTCCTACTGGAACACCGTGATCCGGGAGTGGTTTGCGGAGTACCAGCTCGTGAAGTTGGCGGCGGTGCGCTCTTACGACGCGGACGAGTCGACCACCAACGTCTCGCAGATGTGGTGGGCCGCGACCAGGTACGTGGGTTGCGGCTACTCGACCATGTTGATGCCCAACGGACACGACTACGACCACTCCTACGTGTGCAACTTTGGACCGGCGGGCAACGTGCGCGGGAGCCCGATCTACCGGCAGGGCGACACGTGCAGCATGTGTCCGATGGAGACGAAGTGCGAGCCGACGACGGGCCTCTGCGCGGTGTTCGACGGCCCCCCGTTCCCGCCCTTTGGCGACGACGAGAAGGTGAACCAGTCACCCGTGGAAGCCGCCTATGCGCTAGCGCCGCCGGTGGCGCTAATTGCCGTCACTGCCGCTTTGCGCGTCATTTCGTACGCGATGGATATGCGATAAAAATATACTTCACCTTCCATAAAGTGCGGTTTCGTGTGATGACCTTCATTGGTGGTTCTAGAATTTTAAAAAAAAATCACATGACGATCAAGAAAGTGGACAGACAAATAGAGAGGAAACAAAAACGTTCATAGAAGATATATGGTTAGTGAATGGGGGAGGATCTTCGTCTTATAAATGGGCTTAGTCGACGCTGGTCGACTCAATTCGTTTTAGAGATGGCGGACTTGCACATTTCACTGAGGAGGTTTGGGTCCGCATCTTGCTGCAATTTGTAGCGTTGGGATGTTTCATTCACCCTGCAGTATACGGTGTGCCAGATTGTCTGCCACACTGCAGTGTGGGCAGACGTGGCCGTATTACGTTGGTCTCATGTTAACCAATATGATGCCGTAAGCGAACGCATTGTTTTAAAGACGCAGGTAATTAATGCCTTTATCCCTTGTGACGTCGAGATGCGGGGGAGTCCATATAACCAGCGTTCAAGTCGATATTGTTGCAGCAACGCGGGATATAGATTAGGCGTGTAACATTAAAAATTCAGCAGATCCCACGTACCTAAGGAAGCAATTTTTTGCAAAGCATGCGCATGGAAGGTGTAGAATAAACCACACCAGTTGAGAGTTAAACAATATATTTGCGGCACAGACTAATTACTGCCTTGTGTTCCTGGTGAACGCTTTGCTTTGCTTTGCTACCCTAGATACATGGCACGTACCCACTTTGGGAGATTGGCCAAGAATGCAAAGTAGAGACTGGTAAATGTTATTTTAGGTAAGCTATGCAATTTAAAATTAAAAATAAAGAAATGAAATGGCAAATATACGAAAAATATTCAATTCAACTACAAGTAACGTGCTTTTGAGTCTGTATACCAGGCTGCCGTAATAACCTGACGAAAATAATTTTGAAAACATAAGTTTTAACCTAACGATAGGAACAATTTTAAATAACAGGTTAACATGGCACTCGTTGAGTATTTATAATGAAATTACACACGGCATCAAAACAATCCCTGTGGCAGTATCCCAGCCTGAGGCACCGAAGCTTAAAATATTTTCCTCCGATAAGGTCAAGCCTATTTTTGTAAAAAGAGTAATTAAAAATTGAGTTCTAATACGAGAATATCTTGCACATGTCAAAAAGTGAAAAGAGAACGCTCTCGTTGTTCTTCGTCTTCTTTTCTGTGTGTCCATGCACGGGCTCGCGCCTTTGCGCACTAAAGAAATAATTAACAGAAGGTGACCGTTTTTATTGGCCTAAACGTTATACGAAGTGGCGCTAAAGATGTGTACAAATGCAGGTACAGACATACGTTAAAAAGCAGCATATATTTCACATAAACAGTTGCTTACAGATTCATAACGATGCCAACAGCAACATGGATATAAGCAACACCAGAGGCGGTAAGCTGATATGAAGCACTGCTGCTCGCGAGGATGGTATACCCCTGGCCGCTGATGGCGCCCTACCACAATTGACGTTAATGCGACGTGACGGCTGTATTACAGGTGTATATATGTAATGTATATAAAGTTGAATAGACAGCACTGCAACCACAATCGTCGTTTCACGAACAATAGGTTGTATTTGGGAAGTAGCTTCGAGATTTGGCGTGGCTCTGTGGTAGAATACTTGACGGCCACGCAGATTACTAGGGTTCAATTCTCACTGAGGCCCTGACATTTATTTGTTGCATCTGTCGGGTCAACGTTGCAGATGTAAACTTTCCAAGCGTTCACGCGTTAAAATTACCGATGTCTGTTCTGGCCGTTCCTGGATGTAAACTATCACCTTTGGGCCTTATATACTCATCTACAGCCTTCCCTGTAATCATGCTTATCATCACGCCTATTCCCACGTATTTGAAAGCAGTGTCGTTCATTCATTGTTTTAATATCTCTTGACCTGAGGTAAGTATTTCGCAGGACCTAGGGTGCCTTGCACTTCCTCTCCTCCACTCGCCAGCCTTTTCAAGGAAGTTCCTAATAACTATATCGTATGTTGTCATTCCTTTGAAAATGCCGTTCTTAGTTTACAGCCACTCATAACTCGTGTTCGAACGTAATATATCAAAAGGCGCCAAGAAGAGCATCGATTGCGGAAAATATCTCTGTTAAAGAGCATTGAAAGCATGGTCGAAAAAGCCTATTCCAGGCTATGAGCCATATCTGTGGCACATACCCGTATACATGTGCCATATATATCCGCTCGCGGGTATGCGACATACGACTGGCAAAAATTTTTTTGACGACGTACGCGACGGGATTGCGACAATATTCAGTCACAGTCGTCAAACCATTTTCCCTTCCGTACTAATTTCGGTCTACCCCAAGTTAAGGAGGTGATCACGAGAGCACCCTAACGTAGGCGGTCATATAGATAGATAGATAGATAGATAGATAGATAGATAGATAGATAGATAGATAGATAGATAGATAGATAGATAGATAGATAGATAGATAGATAGATAGATAGATAGATAGATAGATAGATAGATAGATAGATAGATAGATAGATAGATAGATAGATAGATAGATAGATAGATAGATAGATAGATAGATAGATAGATAGATAGATAGATAGATAGATAGATAGATAGATAGATAGATAGATAGATAGATAGATAGATAGATAGATAGATAGATAGATAGATAGATAGATAGATAGATAGATAGATAGATAGATAGATAGATAGATAGATAGATAGATAGATAGATAGATAGATGCTCGAAGTGCTTCGCATTTAAAACTGAAGGCTCAGTAATGCACGTTTAGTACTTTGATTTCCAGCTTCTGCAGTCCGTACCATATCGGCGTAATTTCGACTCTGAATTCTGGTGCAGTTTGCTGCGAGCAGCTTGCCGAGGACTCGGAACTCACAGATGCGATTGATTAGTGCAGTGCGGCAGAAAAGAGAGCAAAGACCCAAACGGAACGACAGCATGACGATGCTTTGCACGAACTAAATGTGGTGAATTAGAAGAAAAAAAAAGTGATTATCAGAACCAACTTTATACCCGCTGTGGCACCGGGTACCCTTCGCTACTCGGCTCCGGTCCACTAATGACGAAGAAGCTCTATTAGTATACCCCATAGTACGGGGTCCGTGGGATGCGGGCACCGTACTGTGCGTTAATAGCGAAAGTGGTATTGATTTGTCGGTAGAAGGCAAACTTATTTAACCCGGTAGCCCGTCGGTCTCTCTCGAAAGTTCGGTGATTGCTAAATTCATGCACACTCCGCTAGAAGAAGCTACCGCTTGAGAAAGTCGGGGGGAATCGCCGTGCGAATGGCAACGTCAACGTCGTTGTGATACAGAAGTCCCCGCAAGAGATGCCGAAGCCAAGCCAAGCAGAGCGCACAAAATTCAGCACTTCTGTGTCATAGAAGCTGATATCAGACGTGAACGGCTTACACTCGACTCTAAGTTTAAAATGAGGCAAGACGAAGTGACGGAGAACGCTTCGCTGTTTCATCAGCCATCACGACGTCAAGTCCGAGCAGCTTGGCTAATTTATTAGTGTGAATGATTCTTCAATGAACCAAAGGCACCTTGAATCCGCCTATTTATTCAGAGAGGTGTTATGTCGCGTAGATCCGTACCTCGAACCCAGTCCCGCCTACACATTTAAAGGGAGGTCTCACAAATTTATCAATTCGGCCATAACATTTATCCCAAACGCTGTAAGGGCCTCAGCAATGTGGAGGAGAGAATCCTTGTCCCCTTTTCATCGAAACTCTAATTTGCCCGGCAATCGTTAAACTCCTGGACACAGCTTGCACGGAAAAGTGCTCACCCTGTGAGGGAAATTGCGGTGACATTTTCCACATGGTGTGCGCGTGGCAAAAAACCCGAAACCCACTTTCTCCAGGAGTATTAGGAGATCGCCCTGCTCGACTGCTCTTAAAGCAAATGGGAACTCGGAGCAAGTGGGAATGCAGTCTTGGATTTCACCTAATTCGATGCGTAATGTTCACCATCACTTAGAGCAACTGGGATTATAATCTAGCATTTCACACAACTATACCAACGTTGTTCACCATCTCTTAGTGCAAGTGGAAATACAATCTTGTACCTACAATACAGTGTTGTCCACCACCGCATAGAGCAGGTGAAACTGCAATCTTGCATATCGCATACAGTGTTACTCCTCATCGGCCAGAGCAAGTAGGACTACATTCTAGTATTTCAAGTACAGTACTGTTCATGGTCGCCGAGAGAAAGTGGGGCTTCAATCTTGCATTCCACATAACCGGATACAGTGTTGTTCACCATCGCTTAGAGCAAGTGGGACTACATTCTATTGTTTCACCTAATTAGGCACAGTCTTGTTCACCATCGCTTGAAACAAGGGATGTAATCTTCTATATCACCTAATTAGACACAGCGTTGTTCAGCATCGCCAAAAGAAACTAGAACTACCATCTAGTATTTTAACTAATTAAATGCAATGCTGTTCACCTTCGTATTGAGCAAGTGGAACTATAATCTTCCATTTCACCTACTTAGACACAATGTTGTTCACTATAGCACAGATCAAGTGGCACCATAACTTTGTAGTTCATATTATGTTGTTCACCATCGCTTAAATGAAATGGAACTAGGACCTTGCATTTCACTTGATTGCATAATAAAGTAGGTATGAGATGATATTGGAGGATTTCGCATAAACAATGCCATTGTATTCATTAGATTCGGTACTCGTATCAAATAGCGCATGTTGAAAACGCCGATCCTTTTTCGAATATTTTTTTTTAACTATAAACACCCACAGAGAAATCTCGAAGGAATGAAACGCCGGCTCAGAGAGCAGTAAGGGTTCTTGTTTTTCACTCATCAACTTGCCAACATGCACGCAATTTACGTCAAAGTTTTACGAGACTATCGCCGATATGTGTATCGCAATATAAAGTTATTTTTTGCTTCGAACTCCAGTGTCACCGTTTGGACAGGTTCATCAGTCCACCATGTTCATCGGGACACTCAGGATAATGTT